GGCACACATCCTAAAGAAAAAAGCAACTGGTGTTGGAGTGGATGTGGAGAGATAGGGACCATTCTACACTGCTGGTGGGAATGCAGACTGGTTCAACCCTTCTGGAAAACAGTATGAACGCTCCTCAAAAAATTAGATATTGAGGGGCTGGAGTGATAGCACAGTGGGTAGGGCGTTTTCCTTGCACGTGGCCAATCCAGGTCCGATTCCCAGCGTCCCATTTGGTCCCCTGAGCACTGCCAGGAGTAATTCCTGAGTGAATAGCCAGGAATACCCCCGTGCATCACCGGGTGTGAACCAAAAAGCAAAAAAAGTTTAGATATTGAGCTCCCATTTGACCCAGCAATACCACTCCTGGGAATATATGCCAGAGATGTAAAAAAGTATAGTCGAGCTGACATCTTTACTTTTTTGTTCATTTTAGCACTGTTTACAATAGCTAGAATCTGGAAAAAACCTGAGTGCCCGAGAACAGATGACTGGTTAAAGAAACTTTGATACATCTACACAATTGAATACTATGCAGCAGTTAGAAAGAATGAAGTCATGAAATTTGCAAACATGGAAGTATCATGCTAATTAAAATGAATATGAAAGAGAGGGACAGACATAGAAATATTGCATTCATCTGTGGAATATAAATTAACAGAATAGGAGACTAACACCCAATAATATTTGAGATAAGTACTAGGAGGTTTTCTCCATGGCTTGGAGACCAGCCGCACATGCTGGGGTGTGCTAAGATGCAGGAAGTTCAGATAGAGAAGGGAACATCAAGTTATGGGTGTTGGGAGGATATGCCCAGATGGGAGATGCATGCTGAAAATAGACTATAGACTGAACATGATTGCCACTCTATACCTCTATTGCAAACCACAGCACCCAACAGGACAGAGTGTACTGAAGGGAATGCCCTGCCACAGAAGGGAGGTGTGATGGGGGTGTGGGTGTGGTGGGATGGTTACTGGGATAATTGGTGGTGGAGAATGGGAACTGGTGGACAGATGGGTACTCGATCATTGTATAACTGGAACCCAAGCACAAAATTTGTAAGTCTACAACTATACCTCATTGTGTTTCACTAATAAAACTTTAAAAAAAAATAAAAAAATAATAATACAGGAATCTGTCCCACATCACATCTCCTACCTGACCTTCTCTCTGCTGCTCCACCATTCCAGATGTTGCTTCCCTGTAACTGTTATCAGTTGTCCTATTCTACTACAGGATATAGAGTTCTCTCCTATTGTGTGGGCTCCAGGAACCTCCATTCGTGATTTGCACTATGTAAGGGGCAGATGAGAGCTTCGGAAGTATATGGCCACTATGTGGCCACACTGCATATCTACTCAACAAATTAAAGCTATTCACAGTTATTCTTCTTGTCATTCTGTGAGGATGGGAAGAGAATAAAGAGAGAAATCTCCAGCTTACTCTGTCAGTAACTACCAGGGATTAAATTACAAAGAAAACTAGAAAACTAGTGGAAAAACATATAGAAGCCCACCAAAATCACTGAGCAAAACAATATCACCAAAGACATAAACAATACCAGTAAAGTCTTAGACAGTGTGACAGTGTCTTTAGTGATACTATGATGAAGATGTTCAATGAGTTAAAAAATATAATAGCACAAGTAATTAGCAAAACACAAGAAAGCATTAGTTTAAATAAAAAATAGTACATTCGGAAATGACAAAAATGAATAACAGAGTAGATTATATAAAAAAAGTCAATGAACACTTTGAGCAGTAGAATAACAGAAGCAGAGCAAAGGGTCAAGGAGTTCCAACTTGCAAAGGAAGAAACCACTATAAAACAAAAGTTGGAAAATAGCCTGAAAAGAAATGAATTCTCCAGTACACTGGAGAATTATGGGATGAGTTTAAGAGGAACAATATAAGAATCATTGGGGTCCCTGAAGAACAGGAAATCAAAGACGATGGAGAAACAATAGTTAAATAATTTTTAAGAACTTCCCAGAATTGAGGATTACAGGCAGTATGAGCCAAAAGCCTCAAAATGTCCCAGTGAAAATAGACCCATTGGGAAAACTCTAAGACATATTTTGCTCAACAAGACAAAGTCCAAAGATAGACAGAATGTTGAATGCATCAAAATCAAAAAAGGAATGTATCAAGATAAAGAAAAGGTTATAGACAAAGGAAAGCCCATTAGATGTACATCAGAGCTATAAAATGGGATTATATGAGCCAGAAGAATACAGAAGTATATGCATAAAAATTCAATGAAATGGACACCTCACCAAGAATATTCTTTTTCAGCTATATTATCATTCAGTTTTGAAGGAACTATACATAGTCTTTAAACCAGTTTTTCATGAAGTCTTTAAAGAGCTCCTTTAAGGGAGAAGAGAAACTACCCATGATGTGGTATTGACTGTGGCACTCACTCATAGTGCATATGGTTGTTCTCTGTTGCATTAAGAAAGGTTAAAATATATATTACAATTCATCACCACAGACTGACTTTTATTGATTTATTTTCTTATAATTTTATTTTCCATTCCTTAATATTTTTGGACCAAATAACATGAAATAAATTTTATTTTCCTAACAAGATGGTAGGCCCGGAGGTGGGAGGAACCGTAAAGACACTGGTGGTAGCTTTGTTGTTGGAATGTTGTATGCCTGAAACAACTCTATTATGAACAACTTTGTAAATTGGCGTCTCAATAAACATTGCTGAGACAAACATTAAAAAACAGGATTCTTATGTCATATAGCCCACAAAAGCTAATTCAATTAATTAGATCATAATCTAATAACTGAGGACAACCTAGAATTCAGCAGGATTTTTTTCCAAGCCCCATTTTATTTGCTTTTTAAAAAATATTTTAGGCACTGTGGCTTATACTGTTAATTACAGGATTTCATGCATGACACATACCCACTACACACCCTCCACCAGTGTCCACTTTCCTCTACAGAACCATTTTATTTGTAAAAACCATCTTAACTGCTTTGTAAGAAAGAATTCACTTGTATTTGGACTGAGATGGAATATTTTAAGTTTTATGTTTTAACAAATGATGCTTACTTTTAAAAGAAAGTGAAATGTATCAAATGTGCATTTTATCTCATTGTTATTAAAACTATACAAAAGTTTTTATTAATTTATTTTTTTCCTATTTGAGGCCTCACCCAGCTGTGCCCAGGGCTTACTCCTTGCTTTGCACTTAGGAAGCACTCCTGGAACTCACCAGGATTTAGACCCCACTGCGATCTTCAATGGTTTGAATTCATTGATAAAGAAACATAAAGAAAAAGCAAATAGGACTACATCAAACTAAACATATTTACATGGTTAAAGAAATTGAGGTTAAAATAAAACCCACTGAATGGAAGAAGATATTTTATATCATCCATCAGGTAAGTTTTTTCACTTTTTCCCCAGAAACATTTAGGAATACCGTTATTTCCAAATAAAAAATAAAACTGTATTTCTCATTGATAAAATAGAATAATAAAACAAACTGTTCTTTTATTTTTAAATAAAAATTGAATTGCTTCAAGCATATCACGTTCCAAAACCTATCCCTCCATGACTATGCTCAGGTTATCCCCCATCCCCTAGCCTGTCATCAGGTAAAATTTGCATAAACAAGACAAAACACTAGGAAGTTCAACAAAAACAGTCCTATCAAAACACAGGAAGAAGAGATGAATAGACACTTCCCTAAAGACAACAGATAAAGAAGTGATCATAATCACCATTTTTCAATGAAATACAAATAGAACTGCAAACAATAAGATATCTTTTCACTGCAAGAAGAATGATATATTTCAAAAAATACTAGAAATGATGAGTGTTTGTAGTAATAGGTTGAAAAAGAAACCTCTTGTTTTACTGTTGGTGGGAATATTCTTTGTTTGAGAGTCTGAATATTTTTCAAAAAACATTATGAATACAGTTTGTAGAGACATTCCACTTGTTGACATCTGTCACAAGAACAGAAAAACATTAATGCACCCTTATTTCAATTGAAGTAATAAGTACATTAGCAAGGATATGGAAATAACCAAAAATTTCAATACAGATGAATGAAGATACTTTTGCTACAATATCCAGAGGCTGCAGACTCTTTTTTTGCTGTGCTTGCACATTTACTTTCAAGTAGTTCTCTCCTCAGATATGATTCTTGTTTGTGTTTTTTATTCAGCACTTGTTGGAATAGCTCCCTTTAGTGTGGTACTTGCTTGCAAACCTTTGATTGTGGTGCACTAAAGATCTCACTTTTTGTTGTGAAACTAGGGATTCTTACTAGAGATACTTAGAGCAGCTGGGTATGTGTGATGGTGCTGATGATTGAACTTGTGACCTCATTGCTCTCAAGCTTGCAATAAAGATATTTTTTCTATTTATTTAAAACTTCGTGACTTACAGTTATATTTGATACAGTTGTTTCTGGCATACAATTTTCCAGCAGCAATCCCACCACCACCGTGACCTTCCCTCCACCAAGGTCCCCAGTTTCCATCCTCCTTTCCAGTAAGGCAGATACTTCTTTTTTACTGAGCTATCTCTGACTCCCAATCATAAAAAGCATTTTCTAAGGTTTATGTTTTTCCTGATTTCAGACTTTACTGCATTCAATTTATATTAAATTTCATGACATAAAATATTATTAGAATTTATTTTTTAGGCATTCAGTGTTTCAACACCACACCTGCAACAAGAGTGTCGGTATCCCTTCACCACTATCTCAAGGTTCTCTACCACCACGCTCCCACCTCAGTTAGTAAGCTAATTTCTGTAGGCAGATTCTCAGTTATCTCTTGTTATTAGCTGTTTTAAGAGCTCATAATATTTTCTAAAATATTCCTTTAGGTGCCTATTTGAGAAAACATGAAGACACAGACTGACAGAAAGCAGATGAGCCACTATTTATCAACTGAATCAGAGATATATTCTGAAAAGTATTAAGAGTTCTTATACCACCCTTACCACAGGACTTAGTTCTTCATTTAAATACTCACCATAAGGGCATGGTTGTTTCTTGTGCTCTGGAACAACGGGTCTCTTTCTTAAGAAATTTTCAAGGCTTGGGCCATGGCGTCCCAAAGGATCATCGGGAGGCATAAATCTGAAAGTGAGCAAGCAAGAAGTGAATATCTGGAGCTTATAAAGCAGCTTATAAAGAAGCTTATAATAAAGAAGTTCACCTGACTTTGAATCCCATCAACCCATGAGATCTTTGGAGCCCACCAGGAGTGATACTTGAGCTCAGAGCCAAGAGTAATTCATAGATACCTTTGGGTATGACCTTCCCCACAAAAACAAAACAAACCAACCAAAAACCTAACAACAAAGAAGTGAATTTCTTTCTTTCTGTCTCCACTACCACTTATTATGAGTTGATACCTTCATTATCTGTTCAATACATTTGTCTCGTTCTTCTGACTATCTTCCCTAAAGCTCATCTTTTGTTAAAACTGAATTTTCCCCTTGTTCTCAATCAAAAATAGGAATTATTTCTTTCCATGTAGCATTCCTTCATGGACTATAAATTAGACAGTACTTGAGTGTCAGTTGACTTTCCAAACCTGTAAAGATACACACTTTCATAACTTTACTAGTTTCTTTGTGATGAACAGAAGGTTACTTTTTCCTGTCTGTAAACTTCATTTAAAGTGAAGTCTTTTTCCTATCATTTTACATAGTAATATCAATTAAACAAATTCTAACCTAGCATTTAACACTTTTCATACCTTTCTCTTCTTCACAATACAGGGAACCTTTTAAGGGCAAATCATTTCTTATTAAGCCTTTTATCTTCATGACAACCAGAATAATTCAAAATATTCATTAAATGTTTATTGAAATGAAATATAATCTTCAAACTTGAATTTAGACTATATTGAAGAGGCTATTCACAATCTACTGGAACAAAAACATACTTGTCGTTTACAAAAGAATACATCAGCAATCGCTCCTCTATAAACTTCTTCCATTCTGGTTTTTCAACTTGAAGATCTCTGTAGTTATCATTGGACACAATGATGCCATCAGAATCAAAAGCCAGTTTGACTATGAACCGGTCATCGTAGCAGACAACTCTTCTGCCCTGCACCCTTCGGGATGGGGTAAAGACAAGAATCTTTTCCTTCTCCAATTTACGTAGGATGTCTTGATCTGTTGAAATACAGATTACATGCCAGTAACCAGAAACTATTCCTACATTGCAAACACAGAAGGAAATACTAGGCCAATTATTACTTGCTCTTATGAAGAGAGAAAATATCCTTTATTCCTGGTTATGGCAATGACACTGAGTTTGACTTTGGGCAAATCACCATTTCCTTTGGACTTCAGCTTTCTCCATAACACAATAAAGGACGAGAGTCATTGAATCTCTGTTTAAAATGTACCAAAAAGTGATAAATTGCAATGTCTTACTATTATTCTTTTTTGTTAACTATTTTATTAGTGAAACACCATGAGGTACATTTGTAGACTTACAAACTTTCATGCTTGGGTTTCAGTTATACAATGATCTAGTACCCAACCCTCCACCAATGCCAACTCTCAACCACCAATGATCCAAGTAACCCTCCCACCTACCCCCACACCATCCACCCCCACTCTGACCCACCTCTGTGGCAGGGCATTCCCCCTTACTCTCTCTATCCTTTCGGGTGTTGTGGTTTGCAATAGAGGTATTGAGTGGCCATCTTGTTAGGTCTACAGTCTACTCATACCATTATTCTTGATGTTTGTTTTGTTTTTTTTTTGTTTGAAACACTAACATTTGGCTGCTAACTTAAACAGGGCAGTGTGTCAGAGAGAGTAGACTTTTCTTTTAGAAGCTTATGTTTTGTCTTTGCATAAAGGAAAGGCACAGCTAAGGGAAAACTTCAAGCTGTAGCTTGTAAGTATAGATTTCCCTTTCATTTTGACCTCTTAAAGAAAGCTGGGCTGGAGCGATAGCATAGCGGGTTGAGCATTTGCCTTGTACGCAGTCGACCCGGGCTCGATTCCTCCGCCCCTCTTGGAGATCCCGGCAAGCTACCAAGAGTACTTCGCCCACACGGCAAAGCCTGGCAAGCTACCCGTGACGTATTTGATATGCCAAAAACAGTAACAACAAGTCTCACAATTTGTTGTGAGAGGTTGCTGGTGCCTGCTTGAGCAAATCGATGAACAACTGGAAGACAGTGCTAGAGTTCTAAAGAAAGCTGGGGTAGAGCAGAATTCATTCAGCAGCAGGCAGAAAGCTCCAATAGGCATTCATTTGTGCATTCTCTTTAGGTGCATCAGGTAACAACTGATGCTTAGACTAATGGGGTCTGCATGCTCTCAAACACTGCAAAGAGCTAGTTTCATATATTGGTGTAAATTAATGTATCCTGTTACCATTAAATATCCTGTTACCATTAAAGAACATCATTACTTTTGTGGAGCGTAGCCACTGCTTGGCCTCTTCTTCTGTAAAAATTATTTCCACTAACATTTTAAAACTTAATTGGTATAAATATGATACACATTACATTCTTAGTAGTTATAGTTTTGCTTTTGGTTCACACTCAGAGTTTCTAAGGGAAACCCATCATTGTGCACAGGGGTCACTCCCAGTAATGCTCACAGTACCTAATGTGTACTTTGAGCTATATCCCTGGTTAGTTCATTTTTAAGGCATTTAATTGTTATTGTATTCATTTTTCTCCATGTTTAATAAATAAAATGTTCTCAGAAAACTATAAAAATACTGTTAACTCCAAACAATGGGCCTTCTCTGACTAATAGATAAGTTGGTTTTGGCTGCCATAAGACTTTCCTCTCTGCACCAAATTTCTAGATCATTAAGTTAATTCTATAATACAGAATAAGAATTAGATTCATTGTCTACACAGGTTTCTTCAGTCTTCTGGAAAACTTGATTACATTCATAACCAGATTATCTTCTCCTTCATTTCAATTCGATGACCAAATAGAAAAAAGCACTCTGTGATTGTGTCCCTTATTTTAATTTTACTGAATTTCAGTTGCCTGTATTTAACTACTGTATGACATAACACGATAGTTTTATCTAGACTTTGAAGTGTATAATTAATATAGATAAATATATCCATGAATACTTAGTAAATTTATTAAAATAATTATCTGAATTGATATCATCAACCTCGCATAAAACTATCATGCTAGCTTTGCCCACAAAAGATAATATTACCTGTAATTAGTGCATCAGGGCGGGATTGCTCCTTTCTCCATGCAGGCACAAATACTGTAATATCTTTATGGCCTTTATCTAGAAACCAATCAACAGCAAGTTGTATTCCTCTGCAGGAGAATTCTTCCTTATTCCCATGGCTTTAGGAAGATAGAGAATGAGAAGAGGGAAGGTGATAACAGCAAAATAACAAACATCAAGGAAGAAATACAAATGGCAAAAAGGCATATGAAAAAATTCTCTACTTCACTAGTCATCAGGGAAATGAAAATCACAGCAACAATGAGATATGGTCTCATGCCAAGTGACTGGAAAATGTCATAATAAACAAGAACTACGCTAGCATGGATGTGGAGAGAAAGGCACTGCTGATGTAAATGCCGACTGGTCCAGCCTTGCTGTAAAATAATATGGACAGTCTTCAAAAAACTGGAAATTGAGCTTCCATCTGACCTAGAAATACGTTTCTTGTGAATATACCCCGGGGGCCCAAAAAGCAATGCAGAAAAGCCGCTTGTACTTCTATGTTCATTGCAGGACTGTTCACAAGAGTCAGAATCTGGAAGAAAATCCGAGTGCGTGAGAACAAATGATTGAATAAAGAAACTATGGTACATCACATAATGGAACACTATTCAGCCACCATTAAAATGCAGACGTAAAATTTGATTATACAAGAATGGCCATGGAGAATATCATGTTGAGGGTCAGAGGGAGAGGGACATACAGAATGATTGCATTCAAGTGAGGGATATAAAAATAGTATAAGACTAATGCCCAAAGACAGTAGAAACAAGTGCCAGTAGGACTGGCCGATGGTGGAAAGTTTGTCACAAGTGGATGGGTAAAGGGTGGAATGGAGTGATGAAAGTTAGGAGAGACAGAAGAGCCCACCATGACAGTGATTGTTAGAAATTATTACCGTGGACAACAACTGAATGCCTAAAGGATACCCCCTCTCAGTGATAGGCATGGTAACCTTTCAGTGCCTGTATTTCAAATATTGCATAAGGGAAAGAGAGAGAGAAAGAGGGAGGGAGGGAGGGAAGAGTTTCTGCCACAGAGGCAGATGGGAGAGATGGGGGTTGGTGGATGGGAAACAAGAGGACATTGGTGGTGGGAAATAAGCACTGGTGAAAGGAAAGGTTTTGGATCATTGTATGACTGAAACCAAATCAGGAACAACTTTGTGACTGTGTATATTACAGTGATTCAATAAAAAGAAGGGGGAAAAGGAAATCATAAAATGAGGGCAGTAGAGATAATAGAGTGGGTAGGGTGCTTTCTTTGCTTAAGGCCAACCCAGGTCTCATCTCTGGTATCCCGTATGGTTTCCAGAGCAAAATAAAAAACAAACAAAAACACTCAAACACAAAAAAATCCCTTATTTTCTTAGACCAAGCGTTTTATTTCGTTATTATGTCAAAATCTTTTTGAAAGAAAAAAACCAAAATATTTTTATTATATTGTTCTTTTTACAACATACGCTGCAGAGCTCAGCGATCACTCTGGGGACTTTATATGGTGTCAATGATTGAAGCTGTGTTGGTTTACCCGCTGTTCTGTCTCTCTAACCATCAATTAGTCTTACACACATATATCACTACTAATAAAATAAATGGGCTGAAGAAATACAAGGATTAAGGTGCTTCCTTGCATGTGGCCAACTCTGTTTCCATTCTGGCACTGCATATGTTAGCACTAACAAGAATGCCCTTTGAGCACAAAGTCAGGAGTAATCCTTGAACACCATGGATATGGTCCCAAATAAAAAAAAATGACATAAAAAAAGACCCATAACATAAATAATGACTGAGAATGGTTATCACATTAAGTATCAACCAAAATCAGTCTTGATAACACTATGATGTGGAAAATGCTAAGATCTTTAAAAAGTCCCTATTTTTTTTTAAAGATTAAAGTCCCTCTAAATACACAGAAAAATCCCTAGAGGATAGTTGCATCAAAAGTTTTGGTTTGGGACACGCCCAGTAGTTCTCAGGGATTTCTCTTGGTTCTGTTCTCAGAAATACTCCTGGTGGGGTTCAGGGGACCATATGTGGATCAAACCCTGGTGGCTGCATATAAGGAAAGAGCTTTGCCTGATGTAATTTTATTCCAACCCCTCAGCAATAAATTTTAAAAATGAATATTCTGTGTAAAATCAATATAAATATTTTCTTTATTGGCTTCCAATTTTCTTAAAACATATAAGCATTTATTATAAATATTAGAACGTTAATTTAAAGGAATATATTTGGGGCCAGAATGATAGTATATCAGATAAGCCACTTGCATCCCTCATCCTGGGAGGGTCCTCCCAGCACCCTTTACTTAGTTCTCCCAGCACCCTTTACTTGGACCCCTCTCTATCTGAGCTGCCTTCTCCCTCAACATTTGCGACTGGCCTCCAAAGCCATGCAGCGAACCTCCTGGTACTTATCTCGGCTATTCTTGGTTGTTAGTCTCCCAATTTATTACTTTATATTCCCCAGATAAATCAATCTTTCTATGTCTGTCCCTCTCTTTCTGATTCATTTTGATTAGCAGGATACTTTCCATGTAGTACCACTTGTATGTAAATTTCATGACTTCATCTTTTCTAACAGCTGCATACTACTCCATTGTGTAGTTGAAGAAACCAAAGTTTCTTCAACTAGTCATCTGTTCTCGGGCAATCAGGGTTTTTTTTTCCAGATTTTGGCCATTGTGAATAGTGTGGCAATGAAGATAGAAGTGCAGATGTCATTTCGACTGTAATTTTTTGCCTCTTTGGGATATATTCCCAGGAGTGGTATTGCTGGTTCAAATGGGAGCTCAATTTATAATTTTTTGAGAATCATCCATACTATTTTCCACAAGGGCTGAACCAGTCGGCATTTCCACCAGAAGTGGAGGAGAGTCCCTTTCTCACCACATCGGCGTCAACACTGGTAGCTTTTGTTCTTTTGGATGTGGGCCAGACTCTGTGGTTTGAGATGATATCTCATTGTTGTTTTGATCTGAAACTCCCTTTTGATTAGTGATGTAGACCATTTTCTCATGTGCCTTTTATCTATTCGGATTTCTTCTTTGGAAAAGTTTCTGTTCATTTCATCACCCCATTTTTTGATGAGGTTAGGTGTTTTCTTCTTGTACAGTTCAACCAGTGCTTTGTATGTCCTTCATATCAACCCTTTATCAGATGGGTATTGGGTAAATATCATTTCCTCTTCTGTATATTGTCTTTGTATTCTGGTTATTGTATCTTTTGAGGTGCAGAACCTTCTTAGTTTAAGATAGTCCCATTTGTTTATCTCTGTTTCCACTAGGTTGGTCAGTGGAGTGTCGTCTTTGAAGATACCATTAGCCTCAATATCCTGGAGGGTTTTATCGACCTTGTCTTCAATGTATCTTATGGATTTTGGCCTGATGTTGAGATCTTTAATCCATTTTGATCTGACTTTTGTGCATGGTGTTAGGTCGAAGTCTAAGCCAATTTTTTGCATGTGGTTGTCCAGTTATGCCAGCATCATTTGTTGAAGAGGCTTTCCTTGTTCCACTTCACAATTTCTTGCTCCCTTATCAAAGATTAGATGTTCATGCACTTGGGGTTGTGTGTACGAATATTCCAACCTGTTAGATTGGTCTGTGGCCCTGGCTTTGTTCCAGTCCCATGCTGTTTAATCATTACCGCTTTGTAGTAGAGTTTGAGGTTGGGGAGGGTAAAGCTTCCCCATGTCTTTTTCCCAAGGATTGCTTTAGCTATTTGTGGGCGTTTGTTGTTTCATATGCATTTCAGGAGTGCTTGATCTATTTCTTTGAAGAATTTCATGTGTATCATTATAGGGATCATGTTGAATCTGTTTAATGCTTTTGGGAGGATTGCCATTTTGACGATGTTGATTCTTCCTATCCATGAACAGGGGTGTGTTTCCATTTCCTCCTGTCCTCTTTTATTTCATGGAGTAGCGTTTTGTAGTTGACATTTTAGAGATCCTTTACCTCTTTAGTTAGGCTGATCCCGAGGTATTTGATATTCTGGGGCACAAATGTGAATGGGATTATCTTTTTCATGTCACTTTCCCTCTCTCATTATTTGCATATAGGAAGGCCATGGATTTTTGTGCGTTTATTTTATAGCCTGCGACTTTACTGGCTATTGGGTATTGTTATATGGCTTATATGGCTATTGTTTCTAGGAGTTTCTTGGTAGAGGATTTAGGATTCTCGAGATATAGTATCATATCATCTGTGAATAGTGAGAGCTTTATTTCTTCCTTTCCTGTCTGGATACTTTTAATGTCTTTTTCTTGCCTAATCGCAATTTCAAGTATTTCCAGTAATATGTTAAACAGAAGTGGTGATAGTGGGCATCCTTGTCTTGTCCCTGATCTTAGAGGGAAGGCCCTTAACTTTTCCGCATTGAGGATAATGCTTGCCATGGGTCTGTCATAGATGGCTTTGACTATCTTGAGGAAAGTTCCTTCAAAACGCATTCTGGTGAGAGTTTTCATCATAAACGGGTGCGGGATCTTGTCAAAAGCTTCCTCTGTGTCTTTTGATATGATCATATGTTTTTTATCTTTACTTTTGTTGATATGATGGATAATGTTGATTGATTTCCGAATGTTATATCATCCTTGCATCACCGGGATGAATCCCAGTTGGTTGTGGTGTATGATCTTTTTGATGAGTTGTTGGATTCTTTTTGCTAATGTTTTGTTGAGGATCTTCGCCTCTGTGTTCATCAGGGATATTGGCCTATAATTTTCTTTGTTGGTGGTGTCTTTGTTTGCTTTTAGGTATTAGGGAGATATGTGCCTCATAGAAGCTGTTTGCGAGGGTTCCAGTTTTTTTTCAATTTCCTGGAAAAGCTTGAGGAGGACTGGCAAAAGGTCTTCTTTGAATGTTTGGAAGAATTCACTAGTGGACCCATCTGGGCCTGGGCTTTTGTTTTTGGGAAGACTTTTGATTACAGCTTCAATTTCCTTGATATGAATGGGTCTATTCAGGTATCCCAAGTCTCGCTGGTTCAGTCCTGGGAGATTATAGGACTCCAGGAATTTATCCATTTCTTCTAGGTTCTCTTGTTTCGTGGCCTACAGACTCTCAACGTAGTCTCTGATGATCTTTTGGATTTCATTGGTTTCAGTTGTAG